TATATATTAGAGGCCCTATGCATGAAATTCATGCAAGAGTAGGCCTTCCTTCCCCTGGCTGCTGGCAATAGTTTCACTCTGGCACCCAGGACCTGGGCTTCCCTGGCAGTCCCGGCTTTGTCTGGAAGCTCGTCTGGTTAAATTAGCATATTATGTTTTTGTTATTTTATATATATGTATATATAATATATATATTTATATATATGTATTTGCCCGGAGACGCACGCTTTTTGTAGCTCACATATCTCAGCCCTGACGGTGTCTGTGATGCTGCTGGTATCCAGGATGTCACTGTGTCGTCCTAGGGTTGAGAGGGTGGGGGTGGGGCTCATCTCAGGGAACCAGCGGTGCTCCTTTCCATGGGACTTGGTGACCGGCACGGCCCAGGCCCGCGGTCCTTGCCATTTCTGGTCCCACATGTGTGCCCTGGGTCTGATGCCTTGGAATCTGAGTTTCTAGTACCCCTTAAGCCAGTGCTTCTCAACCTTGGCTGCACATTAGAATCAGTTTCACTCTGGCACCCAGGACCTGGGCTTCCCTGGCAGTCCCGGCTTTGTCTGGAAGCTCGTCTGGTTAAATTAGCATATTATGTTTTTGTTATTTTATATATATGTATATATAATATATATATTTATATATATGTATTTGCCCGGAGACGCACGCTTTTTGTAGCTCACATATCTCAGCCCTGACGGTGTCTGTGATGCTGCTGGTCTCCGTGTCACTGTGTCGTCCTAGGGGTGAGAGGGTGGGGGTGGGGCTCATCTCAGCGAACCAGCGGTGCTCCTTTCCATGGGACGTGGTCCTTGCCATGCCTGGTCCCACATGTGTGCCCTGGCCTGGGTCTGATGCCTTGGAGTCTGAGTTTCTAGAAGCCCTTAAGCACTTGTCTTTGAAGGAAGATGGGATGAGCTGTGTCTGTGGCAGCTTTTGCTCGTTTAGGTGATTGGGGCCCAGAGGGACCCAGGCCCAGGCCATAGGAACCCTGGCGTCCGAAATAAGGAGGGGATGTCTGAAGAGAAAGAAGAGGTGGTGGGAATTGACATTTTTTTCTGGGTCATTTCAATGACCATTTGACAACACCTGAAGCAGATAATAAACCAAAGCAAACCCTTTCTTCCCCCTCGTTTGTTTTCCGTGACGGCAGGACCTGAATTTCCCGAGGGTTTCCAATCTCTCCGAGGTGTACGAAGTCCTGAACAGGTGCGGAGCCGTCGTCCGGAGCTGCTTCTGGGCGGTTTGGCTCCCAGGACACGTCGGCAATGCCGAGACACTTACCACTGGGGGTGCCACTGACGCCTGGGAGCGAGGCCAGGACGCACAGGAGGCCCCAGCCCAGCACCCTCCCGCCCGATGTTCCTGGTGCTGAGGTCGAGGAACTCTGTTCTAGAGGGAGGGCCCGGGGCCCATCGTCAGTACAGCTGTTGGACGATGTGGTGCTTCCTGTGGGCCAGGGCTTCATTTCTCCTTTGAGCTGTGTCCGGTTGCCGGGGTGATGAGCTGTGTGAGAACAGGGTGGTTTGGTGTTTCTTAGGAACCTGGCATTTCTCTCGGGCCTAAAGCAGTGCCAGGCATAGTAGGTGCACATTCAACATTGCATGAGTGGGAGATGCCAGCGCCTCCCCTGTGGGTGCCTGGTCAGGCCTCAGCTGCTGGCCGTGCGGGATGCGGGTGCGATCATCTCTGTTTGTCCTGAAGACCCCGGGACAGCCAGCCCCCAGCAGGGCCGGTGTGGAGTTCATGTGGGCGCCCGGGCTCAGGTGAAGGGGCCGCTGAGCCCGCTGTTCTCTACCCGTCCCGTGGCCGCGTTCCCACGGCCTTATTTGCCCGGGCCTGGTCCGTGCCTTTTTCTCGTTCCCTTAGAGGTGTCTCGGGGCTGAGGACAGTTTTATTCATATGAACCTGAGGCGGCGGGAGGAGAAGCAGAGGGACTGTTTTCAGCGAATGGTCTTTATCCTCTTCTCTCCTGACAGTGAGTTGAATCCCACCAAGGACTCTGGGCCAGTGATCATTCACGCCAGCAAGTGCGAGAGATACGGTATGTGCCGCGGTGCGGGCTCCTCACAGCTGGCAAAGCACTGAGGGCTAGAGCTCAGGCGGGGCCCCGGCGGCAGGGGTGTTCTCCACGGTGTCCCGGGCTGTGCCCCCTGAACCCCTCGCTCGAAAGGAGCCATCCTAGCGGCACCCGAGGCCCTGGGTGGGGGCATCTGCTCCCCTTTGCCATGGCGAGTGGCCTGTAGGGGGGCTCTTGGCCCTCCGCTGCCTCCTCCTGTGGGTGCTCATGGGCCGTGGGGGTGGGGGGGGCGCCGTGAGGACTGGAGGTGAGTGTGGGGGGTGAGGCGTGCTCAGGTCTCTGGAGGAAGGAGGTGGAGGCTGTGTGTGCACGGCCAATGCCCTTGTGGAATTGGGGTTTGTGATGCTAGGTGGGGGGAGCCTCCTTTCCAGGTGGTTCTAATCGCTGCTTGACTCTCTCCTGCCTCCGGAACTCGCCTCAGCTGAGACAAAGTACCCCCACGAAGCAGCATACGACGCCTTCCTCTGCGGATCAGGTGGGTCCCTTTAAAGGGAGAAGCCAATGCCCGTGTGGAATTGGGGCGTGTGATGCTAGGTGGGGGGAGCCTCCTCTTCCAGGTGGTTCTAATCGTTGCTTGACTCTCTCCTGCCTCCGGAACTCGCCTCAGCTGAGACAAAGTACCCCCACGAAGCAGCATACGACGCCTTCCTCTGCGGATCAGGTGGGTCCCTTTAAAGGGAGACTGGCCTGACTGGTGTGGCTCATCAGCCTAGGAACCAGGAGGTCAGGGTTCCATTCCCGGTCAGGGCACAGGCTCGGGTTGTGGGCTCGATCCCCAGTAGGGGGCGTGTAGGAGGCGGCCGATCAGTGATTTTCTCTCATTGTTGATGTTTCCGTCTCTCTCCCTCTCCCTTCCTCTCTGAAACCAATACAAATATTTTTTAAAAAAATAAAAGACTAGTCTTGGTTACCCTGGCTGTTGCTCAGTGGTTAGAGCACCTGCTGTGCACGAAAAGGTCTCCGGTTCGGTTCCCAGTCCAGGGCACGTACTTGGGTTGCAGGTTTAATCCCTGGCCCCGGTCGGGTGTATGTGGATGCAACTAACCACTGTGTCTCCCTCACATGAATGTTTCTCTCTCTCTCTCCTCCTCCCTCCCGTCCATTGTCTCTCAACAATCAGAGGAAAAAGCATGCTCTGTTGAGGATTAGCAAAAATAAGTAAAGGAGACGCATGCTTTATTCGTGCTAACCCCTGCGATCCCGTGCATTCCCAGTGGGTTGCACATAACGGGGAAAAGGCATGCGTCCGCATGTGTGACCTGGTGGTCAGCTTGAGCCCTGACGTCTGCCATTTCTGCTTTCCCCCCAGTTCTTCTGAAGGTGGCGCACTTGCTCCTGTGGAGAGTGCACGGGTGAGTGTCCCTGCCTTTCCTCCTGCGTTAGCCTCGCTGTGGGCCAGGACCTCCCAAAGACGGGAGGGCGCATGCAGAATGTCACTGCGGATGCAGTCCCCGACGGGTAGCAGTCCCTTGCCACACCCGCCCCCGTGCTGGTCCCGGCCCTCGGGCCTCCTGTCGGGCGCTGGGAAGACCCGTGTGTCAGGAGCCACGGCCGTGGGGTCAGGCTTAGGTTCTCACCTGCCCCCATGCCTCTCAGCGGCTGGGCTGGCGTGTCTGTCACCACGTTTCTCGTAACCATGCAGATCACAGCCAGGTAGGAGGCGGATGTTCAGGTCAGTGAAGGACACGTCCTTGGGGTCCACACAGTCAGGCCGCGGAAGGGCACAGGGGGAGATGCCTGATCCCCAGGCTGGAGGCCTGCACTTCCTGGGCAGCACCGTCCCTGAGGTCTGCGGTGCCAGCTCGCGGCCACCGGCCCACACCTGAAACTCACTTCCCGTCTCTCCGTCCGTGGTGTTACATTGCTCAGGGGGACTCAGCACAATTGTCACGTGTTCTTTGTGGCCGACTTGGAAATAATTGTGGAGTCATCTGTTCAGCTGGGTTTGGCCTATGTCTGTCCATTTTAGTAACAGATACTGTGCACAGAAAGTGTCTACAGCAGCGGTTCTCAACCTGGGGGTCTCGACCCCTTTGGGGGTCGAACGACCCTTTCACAGGGATTGGTCGCCTAAGACCACCGGAAAACACGTATATAATTACATATTGTTTTTGTGATTAATCACTATGCTTTAATTATGTTCAATTTGTAACAATGAAAATACATCCTGCATATCAGATATTTACATTACGATTCATAACAGTAGCAAAATTACAGTGATGAAATAGCAACGAAAATAATTTTATGGTTGGGGGTCACCACAACATGAGGAACTATATTAAAGGGTTGCGGCATTAGGAAGGTTGAGAACCACTGGTCTACAGCCTATAGCTGTGAGGTTCACAACTTCAACAAGAAACCTGCCACCCCACCTCCTTCCTGTGTGTTGATGGCGCCTGAGTGCCCACAGGGAGGTTCGTGTGCCAGCGGCGGAGGCAGCCCACTGCAGAGGCGTCCCTAGTGCCCGGCGCCTGGGCCTTACAGCCTTATTCCTATTACTCCTCAAGCCCTAAACCCTCCGGGGCTCAGAGAAGGGCCGCAGTGGCCCTCTGCCCGCTCCGCAGCCCTGCCTCTGGGACCTATGCTTGGGGGCGTGGCCAGGTCTGGACGGAGGCGGGGCTGGTGGTGGAATGAGATGGTGGGAAGAGGGACCCCACGCGGAGTAGAGGGTGATGTTGCGTCCAGGGATGATAAAGTCACCGTCTGGCCAGTGGCCTCTCTCTCATTCTCCAAGCCCTTTTGCTAATGTTTTTCAGCAGAGGGATCGTCAGCAAACTGTCACCAGCAGACGGTGACCCCTGGAAGCTCTGGCGTGGGCCCTGGGGGACCTTTCTGGGGTTGGTGGGGGGCCATGGGGGGGGAGCACCGACCTGAGCCCAGGGCTTGTGGGGGGAGAGGGGAGTTCCGCAGCCTCGGCCGAGGCGTGTGCATGGCGCCAGGTGCTGAGTGCCCGGGCGCTCTGTCCATGCAGGGCCGGCCCCACCCCGGAGCCCTCCTTCCCCCTGTACCTGGACGTGCTGGCCCCCTACGTGAACCAGGTGAACCTGATCCGCGCTGGGGTCCCCAAGATCGTGAGTACGGTCCCGTCACTCCTCCCTGGTCAGAGGCTGCCCCGGGAGGCGGCCTGGTCCTGGGGCGTCTGAGGGGGGCTCTGATAACAACCACAGTCAGAGTTGAGGCGGGTGTCGGACCCGCTGTGTCCTCCTCACCCTCCCTCTCCCGCCCCAGAAGGAGCCCTTCCCAGTTTCTCTCAGGATTTCCAGACTGGGTGGGTCGTCAGGAGGGATGGTGGGAGTCTCCATCTGTCCTTCTCCCTGTCTTCCAGAACTTCTCTGGCCCAGATTATCCCAGTATCCGGCCCCCCATCCTCATCCTCAGCGTCCGGAGGTGGCCAGGGGTCACCGAGCAGCAGATCTATCGCGAGTTCCAGAGTCTCTGCAAATTTGACGTCCGGCGACTCACACGGAACCAGTTCCTGCTCTTGACCAACAAGTTCAAGGAGTAGGTGCCCTGGGTCTCGGCCGTGCTGGTCCTGTCTCCTCCGGCCACCCCTCTCCTCCTCCGGCCACCCCTCTCCTCCTCCTGCCACCCCTCTCCTCGCTCGGAGCCGCAGGTGCGCGGCCTGCCTGACCGAGCGCCGTCTCCCGCAGCGCCCGGAGCATCCTGAAGGAGTACCGGGGCCACCCCACGCTGCAGGTGTCGCTGTACCGGTACTGGAGGCACTCCCCGGACGTCCACTGCCTGCTGCAGTAAGTGCCCCTGCCCGCCGCCCGCCTGTCCTGTGCGCCCACTTGGGCTGGGCGAGCACAGCTCCGTACTGGGGTGTCCTAAGGCGTGGCTGACGAGTGTGGTGAACTGAACGGCATTCTGTAACGTTGTTTTTGTTTGTTTGTTTTTCGCTAATCCTCACCCGAGGATGTTTTCCATTGATTTTTAGAGAGAGTGGAAGGAAGAGGGAGAGACAGAGAGAGAGGAACATCGATGTGAGAGAGAGACATCGATTGGTTGCCTCCCACACACACCCGGACTAGGGCCAGGAATGAAGCCTGCAACCGAGGTACGTGCCCTTGACCGGAATGGAACCCAGGACCCTTCGGTCCTCAAGCCGATGCTCTATCCACTGAACCAAACCGGCCAGGGCTCTTCTGTAACGTTTGATGTGTTTATTGGGCGTCCACTGTATGCGGCACCATCGCAGGCCCCTGTTCTCATGGGGCTCACACTGAGCGGGAGGTAATCAGTAAAGGAGGGGACTGCCCCTTCTGTTAGTGACAAGAGCAGTTCAGGGGGCGAGTGGAGGGAGTGCTGTTGAAGGAGAGGATGGAGGCCCTGTGCCCCGGGCAGAGGGGCCACAGCGCAAGGCCTCTGGCGGGATGTGCCTGGGGTGTGCTGGGCAGAGGCCACAGTGCTGGGAATGAACAAGTGAGGAGATGAGACCGCACGGGGCCGCGGGTGAGGGCTGCGGAGAAACTGGCTCGCGGGGGTTTGGAGCAGAGGCATGCTGCGTGGGTCTGTGGAGACACTGGGGGCCCGGGCCCGGGAGGAAGTCTGGACCCCGGTCACCTGGCTGTGGCTTGGACTGCTCGGTGGCCGCGTGGGGGTGGGGCACGGACAGACCAGAGCAGAGGCAAGTTCGAGTCCAGAGCTTGTGGCTGGAGCATCTGGAGAGATGGAGATGCATTAATGTGCTTTGTAAGGACTCTGGCCGGCTGGTTCGAGCCAGATCTGTAGAAAGGCTGTTGAAGCAGGACATTGGGCCTGGGCTCCGTTCTCCTGTGTCAGCCTCGGGTGTAAATCGGCAGGAAAAGTGACTGCTCCGTGTCCCAGAGACGAGTGCGCTGGGGCGTGGACAGCGGTGGGAGGAAAAAGAACATTTTCGCCAACAAAGTCGGGGAGAACAGGGCGAGCCTGTGTCAGAGCTTTCAGACCTGCCGACTGGCCACACACAGATGCCCTCGCCCCTGCCGTGGACCCACTAACCCGCTGACCCGTGTCCTGGCGTGTCCTTGTCTTGCAGAGTCTGTGGCATAGTCACCGCCTGGGCCCTTCTCACGTTTCTCCTGGGGCGACCTGGCCCCTGACGCTGCCCGAGCCCTGCTGCTCCTGTCCGCGCCTCTCCGGGAGGCCAGCCCGTTTGTGTTCGTGTGAATCGTATTCTACTTGCCAATGGACCTGCCTGGTCATTGCGAGGGATTTCGTTATGTTTTGAGCGAGAAATTCTGTAAATGTTATCAATGATACAGACATCCTTGGGCGGCTCTCCCTCCGGGAGCGT